CGGGGCTGTTGCTGTTGCTGGTCCCACCAGTATATGTGGGCCCGTGTATGCGAGCATTGTCACTGCTCTGTGTATGTCCGTGTTTGAATAGTGTCTTCTTTTCAACGAGACGCGCACGATGGAGAGAACAGCCATAAGGAATGGATAACAATCACACACAAGCTTTACCGCGAAAGTTCAGGAGACGTGGAACTGGAGGCTGCCACCGGGGATAGAGAATACCTTGTGGGGCAATTGCAGGAGAAGCAACTGTTACTCGCACCTGTCTACAGGGGAGGGTGGGGCTGGAAACCGTCACCAGGGCAGGGACTGTCGTAACTAGTTCGCGTCAAAGTGAACTCTGCCAAAAGCTCATTGCCGAGGTTTTCGAATTCTGGGAACAGCCAATCACAGATGCCGCAAGGCTGGCCCCTGGCCTGGCAATGAATAGCACGCCGGCACGCGTAGGTCGATCACTCACGCTGGCCGCTGCGATGCCTGCTGCTAAACTGGCACTTCGGACCCGACTAGACTCGAGGCTGGTCGTGCGCTCCGAAGTCAAACTTCTCCCTGCTTATTCTCCAGTTCTCCGTATACAGAATAAACGACTCTTACTACTCTGGATTTCAACGACTTCTCTCCTAAGGAACCATGGTCCGAAGATTGCAGTTGCTAGGGTTTAACTTCCGCCCCACCTATGATAGGACAGCTCATGTACACCTTACTTACGAGGGCACACCACGTACGCCATCATTGCTCAAAATCAACTACTGCACGTCGACCAATTAAAACAACGTGTAATCTCCGTGTTCTCCTTGATCCCACAAGCGCACGTCTCAATCGGCCTTATTTATGATTAGTCGTTTTGGATTGTCATGATTGCTTGGAAGGCAGACGGTCTCTAGTGTTTGCGTGCCAATACTCGTTACGGGCACCGCGTTGCAATGGGAGTGGGGGGAGCGATAAACATGCACCGGTGGCCTGTTGCTTCCTTTGTTCACGTACCTCTAGGACGGCCCGAGTGATAAGTCACGTGCTGGGCCGTCCTAACAGGACACGCCGTAAGCAGTCATTTTCTGCAGCTTGCAGTTTTTCCAGGCGGCCAGAAAAAGTTCTTTCAAAGGCCAGCATCCTGTCCGTGACTGAAGTACGCTGGGATTAATCTGTGCGATTCCTAATGACAACAAGTCTGATAAAGTACTCATGCGAATTGAAAACACATTCCAGAACTTCTATGGCTGACGGCTAGCACAACTGTCCGGCTTCTCTGTTCAATGCAAAATGCCATTTAACTTCATGTGTTTTCGCAGGCAACTGTTCCCAATCGCTGACCTTAAACCGCTTAACCGACATGCACTCGCACACGCACGCGCGTGCCCAAGTAGTCGCGGTTTCTCAGGTGACACTTGAACGCGACACGCGGCGGCCAACGCAGCACGGAACCTCTTTATGCGACACCCTCTTCGTGCAATTGTAACACACTCATAGCCTACCAATTTCACTTGCTTCGCGGTCATGTAAGAGCAGCTGCCATCGTCACATCTTACATAACACAGCACACACTCTCTCTGGGACACTATGTTTATTTGCCTGACGTTTCGAACTCCGTTGCGGATTCATCTTCAGAGGCATACTCACAGAACAGTAGCAGAAACAGTTTGTGTGTGCACAGGGTTCCGCCGTAAAATTTAAACGTACAGAAAAAATCGATAAATGCGCTGAGTGTGTTCTGATTCGTCACGTCAGCCATGACCATCTGGCGCTGCGGTGTTGCCATAGAATTATGTGGTGGCCTGTCTGTTCTCCGCACGGTGATTTGCTTTGACCAAATTTAGTCTCACCACCGAATATAGATTGGGTAAATCGTTGCATTTAATGATGGATTGGGGGCCCGTGAACCATGACTCAAGTAATTTTCAGCTTACTCGATTGTCACCTCTTGCGAGAATTTCGGCCTCATCAAATTTGAAT